ACCAGACTGTGCATAGTTGAGGAGGCAGAGTGTGTCCGCCGCGCGCTGCGTGAGGCTAGGGGAACAGGACTTTGGATTGGAATAGAAGGAGGATGAAGGATAAAATACGTACTCCAAGTGACACCTTTCGAAGGGCGGTCTCGGATAAGGGCATGGTATGAGACGACCAGAGAGGCTGAGAGGTTGAAGATAAGCGAAGCCAAGAAAGCTGGAGAGTTAGGGAGAGTAGTAACAGATGGTGCAATACCCAGGGTGTTAGCCGCTCACAACCGGTACTGGAAGGAAACACTGAAGACTTTAGAGGCGATAGACGAAGGGGGAGATAGTGAGGACTTTGAGACATTTTATGACATATTGGAGCGGTTGGCGATGAGGCTACAGGTTGTTATAGCACTAACTTACCTCAGCTGTTAGACAGATGACCTCGTAACTGTTGAGGACATAAGGTAGAGGAAATAGAAATTGGAAGCTCTTGGAAGTATAGAGGAAGCTATAAAGGTCGATCGGCGACATTGGGCGACAGTAGGAGGGCCTTTAGCGGGCTAACCGATTCAGACTGGGCTAGGAGAACTAGCTAGGAGGACGGAGAGAGACGCTCGGGAACTCTTGAGAAGTGTTGATCAGGAAACATTGGCTAGGTTTGGGATTGAAATCCGTCTCAAGGATAGAGGTCCGGCCACGGGCGTACTGCAGATCCGGAGAGGCACGACCTTGTTGGCCGATTCCGAAGGAGAGGTTTACTTAGACACAGAGATTCCGAGGATAGAGAGGGAGGACACGAGATCTGCGACTGGAACGGGACACTAGAAGTGGTAATCGAGGCAGTCGAGAGCTAAGATTGGAGGCGGACGCGAGTTGTGACAAAGAAACAGGTCCGGGCTGCCGCGACTGTCACGGTCCGGGCTGCAGCGACTGTCATAGGGTCGGGCTGTAACAGTTGGCTAGAATACTGAGCTGCATCTTCTGACGGTCCAATGGAACCCGACACGATGGGGCCACAACCGACCACGGGCGAAGCAGGAGAGGAGTACAGGGCATCGCCCGATCGAGCACTGAGGGATCTGAAGGAACGAATTAGGCAAGAAGCATCGCTGAGATGGGGCGACCAAACCAATGACGGAGGACCCGACATGAGAGGCGAACCCGTTGCGACAGAGCTGCAGGAGGCTCTAAAGACGGGTACCTCGAGCGGACGACGAGAAGCGACGAGGCGGCGCTCCCCCGAGTACGAGCAGAGGAGGGACACCATAGCGGACAGGTACAGAGACGACTGAAGAGAGAATTTGAGGGATTCCTACTGGAGGGACAGAGATAGAGACAGGGCGCCGCCCAGGCGAGTCTTCGACCCCGAGACAGGGGAGTCACATCCGCTCCCTTACGAGAGCAAGGACCGGTATATTATTACACACAAGGTCTCAGAGCCTCCTGCCTTCAGGGATTATGGTATCACAGAATATCTCGAGAAGTGGGAGCTTCACGCCAGTCGGAGTGAGTAGTCGCAGGAAGAGATTATAGAGAACTTCCTATTTAATGTGGACCCAAGTCTCGGTAGGGAAGTTAAGGAAGCTCGACCGAAGGATGGCAAATGGACTACGTACAAGAAGAACCTCGTTGAGCTTTACAAATTGGAGGATAACAAGTATTCCGTCAAGGACCTTGAAACAATGACTCAAGATGAAGATGAGAGCGTACGGACATTTGGGATGCGTTTCCAAAAGATCTCCGACGTGCTGATGAAGAAGGGAAAGATCTCAGAGGTCGAGCGCTGTACTA